TTTGTGAGAGGAGATGGCCTCTTGGATTGCTTGTAATGCTACTTGCATCGCCTTCTGAAAGTTGTTAGATTTTTCTTGAAGAAAAATGTCCTTGTAGTTTTTGTGCCACTGTCTTCTGAGATGGTTCTCTCCCCCATCTTTCTGGTACAGTCTAGTCTAAAGCCTTGGCATTCCATGAGAATTTCTAACCCCAAACTAATATGACAATAATATACAAATGGTTGTAATAAATTCATAAATAAAGACATAATGGGATAGCACACTATAAACAACTACTGTATGTATTCTCTATTTTTTTTCTGAACAGTACATTCTGGTGATTGCATTTCAGTGGAAGCATGTGAATTATTTCAAGGTCCTAATGAAATATTAGGAGCACTGTGGTGGCCAGTGCTTATAAGCCAGCAGCCCAGATTCAACACCCCAGCACCATGTGATAGGGTGAGCTTCTGGCCTGGCCTCATTCCTGCCAACCCAGCAGTTTGAAAACAAGTTGATAAATAGGTATCACTTCAGTGGGAAGATAACAGCATGATGTCATGTGGGCCACATGACTGCAAAAATGTCTTCATACGGTACTGCTCAATGGCTTTGAAACAGATATGAGCACTGCCTCTGATAGCCAACAACATCTAGAGGAGTAAAATCCACAGAGACTCCTTTATCTTTTTTTTCCTAATGAAATGTAACTATGTTGTATGTAGGGAAATCTGAAATATAGGTCCTTTCCCTGATGGAAATTGCCTACTCATAGGGATTGTTTTATGAGAAGGGCTGGGAGCAAAGAAAAGGATTACCCTAGAAAAGAAATTAAACTTCCCATATAAAAAATATGAAAAGCAAAAGCCTTTTATGTATACTTATTTGACTTTTGACAGATGTTGTCACAACAAGAAATCTTTCAAAACAGGTTGTTTGGTATTCTGTGCTAACAGACCAGTTCTGACTTAATTTATGTGGGAGGCTTTGATTTAAAACTGTAACTTAACAGTTGAATCCATCACCACAACCACCACTTCCTTCCCCTCATTTCCTCCTCTTTCTCCTTTAATTTCTTTTATACTCTGCTTTTAGAAAAGCCAGATATGAATGTGAAAACAGATGTACTATCTGAGGTACCACAATTTTCTGTGAACCCTAATAGTCTTCAGTTAGAAGAATCCTAAACATATTACCAAATTGTTAATGTAACACAAGAGTAAGATATTAAATACATGACTTAATAAAATCAGATTTAGTTTTTGTGCAGTCATATCACTATATACACCATGGCTTCCAGCATTCTATTCAAATATCTCATTTGTGCATGTCTATTAAAGGTAAATAATTTAGGTGAGATTCTATGAGAAGCGATTATAGATTGAATTATCTCCTGCAGAGGCCATAAACCTTCACAAAGGATTTTGCTGGCTCAGTGGATGTTAACATTCAGCCTACATATTCATGGGCTCTGTATGTAATTGTTGAATTCTAAAAAACATCAGGAGCCTGATGTTTTTTTAGAATTCGACAATTACATACCTATAATTCACAGAAATTCATATTACTTCACAGACTGAAACCAAATAGGCACAAAGAGAAGGGAAATGAGTCACATGTACTGACCATAGAGATATATAAAGAGAAAGGAAACAGAACTGAAAAATAGAGTGACAGGTTAAAAAAAAGAAACAGTTAATTGATATGTTAATTTTGAAAGATAGTATTAAGTACAGCAGATAATTTAAATATTAATATTTTTATCAGATTTCATAATTAATTTATAAAATAAATTTAAAAACTAATGCAAAATATTATTTCTCCTATAAGTTTACATTTAGATGTTAATTTATAAATCATACATCCAAGAACATTTTTCTATCTCCCCCATGTCACACACACACATTTCAGAAATCTGTACACCTGGCCAATATAAGCATCATTTTATATATTTTTTTCCAGTTGCTCATTTCAATAAGCAGCATTTTAGATAATCATAAACATTATTTCTGAACAAAAATATACAGAAAGCCTGTACTATTATCAGTTATGTCAATTGTGTATCACTTTAACATTAAATTAAAATTTTATGAAAACTTACCCAAAATAGAATGTAATACTGAATAGATAAATCCAAACTGAATAATATTACATATTTGATCTATTTTTCATCCTTACTTGCAACCCATGTCTAAACAAAATCCAACTGAAAATAGCATTAGTTGGAATAAATTTATCCTGTTTGATCTGCTGAGACTTAATAATGCTATTCTACCCTTCATTGAAGAAAACCTGGATATGTCTATGTCATGATGAATATATGCACTTGATAGTTTTCAGGATATATAACAGGCTACATATCTTAGTCCTATAAAATAAAGTATCTTGAAATAGAAAATCTATCTAAATTATTCAGGTTCTTGAAATGTCTGTACAGATATTACACTTTGGAAACTACAAATATATTTAAGATATTAAACTTCAGTGATGACACTTCAGCTTTAGTGATGAAAAAAGATAGATAATTCAAATCTGTTTAATAATACAACCAAAGATAGATCAGGCTTAGTTTTCCAGCTTATTTTTCATAGGTTTTTACTATACCATATGCAACTCTATTGTACATGATTATGCATACACTCACAATGACATTTGTGAGGGAATATCAAGAAATAAAAACCAAAATAACAAAAAATTAACCCTGAATTTTGCTTGAAAAACTTTTTGGGGCAAAAGGTTTCATATGTATTTCTGTTACTGCAGTACTATAATACAAAAGTCATTTTTTCCTTTTGTTCTATAAATCATACAATACGTCCTCTTTATTTCTGTCCTTATTTGGCAACCATTCTCAGATATGTATATACTTTTTTTCTCTGACTTGAATTATAGTAAGTTCTATCTCCATTTATTATGAAGATTTGCATTTAATTTCTATCATAAATTTGCATGTAAATATAAATACATTAATCACTTTTTCCATGCTGCTTTCTTTAAAGGTTAACTGGAAAGAAGAGAGTCTCAAATAATGACAGAAATTATTTTACAGGAAGATATGTCAGAGTATATTTACTTTTTAAATTTATTTCCTGCTTTTTTTCTAGAAGCTATAGGAGGCTGACTGAATTTATATCTCACTCCAGTCAGGAACAGACTCTTGGCGGCCCATAATATGAAAAAAAGTGCAAGTAATCCTCGACTTATAACAGTTCATTTGATGATGGTTCAAAGTTGACTTATGACCTAACTTACAAAAGTCACATCACTCCCATGGTCACATGACTGCAATCTAGGCACTTGGCAAGCAGCTTACATTTACAATGGTTGCAATGTCTTGCAATTTTGATTTGCAATCTTCTCAGCTGGCTTCCAACTAGCAAAGTCAATTGGGGAATCAAATTTGCTTAATGACTGTGGTAAAAAATGGTTGTAAAATCAGGTATGGTCATGTAATTGTGGTTGTAAGCTGAGGACTACATGTAACAAAAATCAAGAAATCCCCTCCACAGTTTAAAATAGTATCTGGAATCAACCTCTAAATGTCCTCTGGAGAAGGTCCATATTTAGGACTTCTGGAAGGCAACTGACATGGGCCCAATATAAATCCTACAGGACACTATTCCAGAGAGCCAACCAATTACAAAACAACTGTGCTTCCAGCTTTTACCTCTATGATCTCCTGAAATTGGAGGACAACAACCTGCTCGTACAATCAGGTAGTTCTAATTCAGTGGAAAAATGTAGTCCTGCGGGTTATTTATTTATAAGATCCTCTTCATACCCCACCCCCAATAACCCACCAAAACTATTCCTGCAACATCCATCTTGGATGAGCTGAGAGGTAACGAGTCACTTGAAATCATGTAGTGAGCTTTTATGGTTGAAAGTAGATACTGCATATCTATCTTCCTCTATCCCTGACTTTCTAGTCTGAATTTAAAAACTAGCTAGTTCTCAGGTCAAAAACCAGTCAATCTGGCATCTGTCTAGACATAAAATAGGCATTCCATATTATATATTACCTACAACTTTTAAATAAAGATGCTAAGATTTGAATCTGGACCTATGAGTATGCAGGAACACACTCCACATCCAGTTATGGTTTCTTTCCTACATTTAATTTCATATGGCAGGTAAGATTATAAAGTTCTAGATCTAGTATTTGATCTATTGAGGCTATTTTCTCACAAAACCTTAAGTAATTGAAGATTGAAATGGTATTTGAGATAGCTATTTCACTATGTTCACAATCATACTAAACCAGAGTATGGTTTTAATCAGAGTCTTGTAGATAAATAAATAATGGCTTTTTCTGAGTTTCTTTACTATCTTTTTGTTGTTCTTATATTGTACATATGTGGATTACTTAGAGACATGGATGAAGATCAAAGCAGATTAAGGATGAAAAAATAACTTTTCCAGGGCAATGTATCCTGAAGCCAATTCCTTTTCATCATAATGAAGTGGAAACACATTCCATCATAAAACTGTGTTTACATATAAACAATCATCTGAACAACTAGCATGTTGCTGCATGCACTGTTTTGTGCTCTAAATTTCTCATGTGACCAATTATGCAAAGGAGGAAGGAAATAGCTTTTGTTGTGCCTAAATTCAAGATTATGACTTCCTGTATTCAAACAGATCAACAAATGAAGATCAGTTTTGAATTAGATATGGAGTGTAATAAATCATAGTTCTGGACATGGACTTAACATAAATCTAAGCAAAGAGTAAAATAGGAGCATGGATTGCATGCAATAGTATGTTGCACATCTACAATACAGTTTACTAAGTCAAAATTTCTAATTTACTACTTAGAAAGTTTAAAATTTCTTGCCAGTATAAGGATTTAATTGGGATGAAATAAACTTGACACTTTTAAAAATATTCTTCAACACTGCATTGTTAGAATAGGGGACAACTTTCTTCACATCCTGTGGCAGAAAGGCAAGAAGATCTTTTTAACTCTCAATGTTTTAAGTTCATTTATTCAAGATGAAGTATAACAAAATACTTACTGGATCTTTTTTGACCAGATCTCTATCAGGCACCACTGCAATGAGGTGGGCAAGTGTAAACACAGAGTTAAGAACATATGAACAAAAGAGATTCTTATGCAGTGTTATCCTTTGACAGCTGAGGCTCCTAAAAAACATGCACCACAAATACAATATAAATTAGAAATTTAATATATTATTAAAGCTGATTCTGAGGTTGCATTAATAACAAGAACATGTTTAGCAATTCTTCCTTAAATATGCAATCTGACACAGGCAGTCAGAAAAAAAATATGGCTGGCAATGAAGCCATGGGAAAAAAATTCCCTCCCTCTTACACCTGCTTACATGCTCCATGCTTTTTCAATCATAGTTAGAGGACTTCTCAAGTACATGGTCATGGCAGAAAAATTCACAGAATTATTTTGATAATAAGATATATATATATATTTAATGTATTTAATATATTTTATTTAATAAATAAATGCAAATATCCTGCATAGACATATTCTTTGGAGCATTATATTAAAATTACAAAATACTTTAGGAATGTGTTATCAGCTGAGTAAGAAATTTTGATCTGGAATTTTTCTGATGTTAGGGATATTTAATTTCATTCCTTGCATGGTTTTGATTTCTTCTTGGTTCCCACAACTATAAGAGATTCTTCCTGCTTTATTACAGTCAACTGAATCAAGAAAATTACTGTGCCATTTTTCCCCCTAAATTATTCACAAATAAATATTTAGCTAACTCACTAACCCCACTGAATAACTTTGAAACAGTCAATAGTAGTCTGAATAGTAAAATAACTTTCCCCTTTACTGGATAAAGGTTATATGACTATATATTGATTTTCATATGCCACTAAGTTGTTCATACACCTAACATGGCTAGTTCTTTCTAGATTTCTTTATAATTAGATTAAATAATTGGGGCTCACCCAAAACTTGGAAACTATTCTTGCTTCCTAATAATAGAATAAAAAAATAGCAATCATCAGCTCTTCCCAAAATGTTATGTGAGGCCCTAATTTAATATTTGCCATATTTGATATGTCAAGTCATTCTTTGTATTCTATTTTGGCACACACAACTCTTTAGTTACAGTGGAATACTTAGAGTCTGCTTAATGTCTTAAACAAGCGTATACAACTCCAAGAAGACATGGTATTTCTATTATAGAGAATTGACACATATAGCACATAGATAAAATCACTTGTAAGCCAATGTGGCCAGTAAGCAAACAACTGGACTATATGAATCAAAGAAATACTTCTATAACTCTTGCACACGCTACAATAAGAAACAATAAACAGTGGAAGGATGTACTCACTTGAAATGGAAGAAAATTCCCAAGGAAATCAACAGGGAAACCATAGACAGTACATGTCCTACTATAGTCATGTAATAAACTATGAAAACCATCTGAAATTTAAAAAAAAACTAAATAAAAAATGAAGAACAATGAGACATTTTAAAAATTATTGTGAAATATAAATAGTAGTAACAATGACCCCAGAACTTTGGCATATGTTGGCATATCTTTTACTTTATTTTAGATACATGGAACTACCTCTCAAAATGATTTAAATTGTATCCACGTTTACAAAGTACATGCTATAACTAGTATTATTTTAATGTATATGTATGTATGTATGTATGTATGTATGTATGTATGTGTGTATATATATGTGTATATGTATGCATAAGTATATACACATGCGTATATAATTAATGTCCCTGTTCATTTGATTATCATAGGTTGTCTTGGTCACATGGTTTGTTCTATTTGATTTCTTGATTTTATAATCTCTGTTCCTGCTGCTGCTATGAGCAACCCAAATATAGTCTACCTGTTGAAAACCATATCAAAGTAACTTGTGTTCTGCTGTACATTATTTCTCCTTTACTTTTTTCTGCATTTAGGGTTAATTATGGCAAGATTTTCCCTCATGTACTATCCTCTTAATAGGTATTATAACAAGCTTCTGTAATTGGCCATATAAAAGTCAACTCCATAAAGATTTACATAAAACCTTGAGAATTATTTCTTATAACGAAAGGTCATAGAGCGTCCTCAGCATTTTACAGAGGATCTTATATTAGACTTTCCCCAGAATACTATGTAATAAGTAAGATATGGTCTAAATGTCTTAGATTTAGATTACTTTGTAATAAGTAAGACATTCAGTCTCAATGCCACAGGGTTAGGCACAATATTTAAAAAATGGAAATTCAAATCTAGAACACCTTAAAAAAAAGAAGGAATATAAAGAAAGATGTAAAATATACCCATCATTTTTATAACATATATAAACTTTATGCATGAAAATTTCATTGATCATTTACTTATCTCATACGGATTATAGAAGGCTTTCAGAAACTCCTTTCTAATTATAATGAAAGTCAGTCATAATTCTGATTGTACCCATCAGCCATGTAAAGGGAATGTGCTCAAAAATTTACACTAGTCCTTAAAATCTCATACGGATTATAATGCCACCATTTTTGTCTTCATTAAAGTCAAGTCAATACATCTAACTTTAGTGATGAGCAGTGAAATTTGACATTTTATCAGTTTTTGAGTGGGGAGGAATACAGGTGAAAAGTCTATTCATTTTTCTCTACTCAAATGGCAAAACTGCTTTCCTTGATATTAGTGACAATAACGGTGGAAAGAATAAGATGAAAAGATCGCCTTTGGAATCTACAGCTCATAGTATGTGGACTCATTCAGTTTTAAACAATAATCAGCTAGGATACAGAACTATAGGCCTTGGTATTACATTAGGAGTTTTTATATAAAACCTGTGAATTGGACATTGATTTCCTGTGGCATCACTGAACATGGCTGAAATAGACAAAAGGCATTGCATCTATCTATATTGCATCACTGATTAATATATATATATTAAATTTAAACAACTTACCTTACGCTTTTCATTTGTAAAAGAATTGCACCGGGTGTAGTTGGACCAGGTTCGGTTGGTTTCAGGATGCCGAAACCATGTTCCTGTCTTATCACAATATTTTGTTGTTATTTCTGTGAATTAACAATTCAGTGGATGAAATTCATTTAAGAAACTTGTGTCTGTATATTAAAGCCTATTACATTTCGTACATTAATGAACAGTGGCTGGAATGAAAGAAAAATCATTTATAATAACACTGAGACAAATTGTGATAATTTGCCATTTCATTTTGTAAAAATAGCAAATCATTAAAAAGAAAGTATCATTAACTACTTCCTGTAACATGTTTTGCTCACTGTAAGTGACAGAATCACTATAACCAAAATATATGAGGTAAATTGTTTGTAGCTTAGTTGTATTTAATGCATTAGAATGGATAGAATTTTTTACACCTTAATTTTTATTTTCTCTTAGCTGAATATTATTTTCTTACTTTAGCGGAGCCATACATCTTCAGTTAAGGATGGTCCCATAGACAGGTAAATTTTAAGAATTTCAGGAAGAATATTCTGCCTTAAATATGAACTGACCAAATAATTGTTTTATTTCTTTAACAATTCAAAATACCATCTGATTCTTGGCCTGAGTAGCTGCCCCACCATTTCTCACAATTACAAATGTTTGATTGATGAAGTAATTCCTCCATTGCTATATTTTTATATCCTTGTAACCACTTACTACAAGGTACTTAGTTTTATTAGATATTGCTTATAGCTTTATGCACCATAGCCCTTTAAGGTAGACCAGACAAAGAAACCAATGTCATTTAGAACTGGAATTACTGCTCAATTACTATATTGTACAAAAAGTCTGAATATGCTTCCTCATCCCTTACTTATCTTTGTGTGACTTAGGGACCTCTGAGACATTTACTCAGATGAGTTTTTTAGAATTAACTCAAGCCGCACTTCTCTTATGTCTGAATTGTTAGCAGATCTTCCTTCTGTCCTTGAAGGCCATTCCCTATTTTCTTTCCAACTCCATACTTACACACTAGCCAGGTTTTTACAACAACAAAGTTTTCTTCTACTATCTTAAATTCTAGTTTGATTAATTATATTCATAATAGCTAATATATTTGCTGAACATGATGAAATTTTATTGCCTCACAAATGGCTGCCTGTATAACAAGTACATGGCAGTCAATGGCTGTCCGTATAACAAGTCAGACTGCCACTGAAAGATGTTTGTAATGGACTATTGTTAGAGGCCAAACTTCCAAATACATGGATAGAAGCAAATATTACTTTGATACCAAAAGAAGATTCAGACTTGACATATATTAAGAATTATAGACCAATTTCATTACTCAATGTGGATTACAAAATTTTTACTTCAATAATGGCAGAGATTAAAAAATACTTAGTTGAATTTATACATCCAGATCAAAATGGCTTTTTACCGAACAGACAAATTAAAAACAATTTAAGGGTGATAATGGATGTATTAGGATACTGTGAATTACATCCAGGAAACAACTAGCATTAGTGTTTATAGACGCCCAAAAGGCGTTTGATAATGTTTCCTGGCAATTTATGATTCAGCAATTGCAAATAATAGATTTTGGAAAGAATTTTATAAATATGATAAAAATAATATATACTGTAGCAACCAGACAGCAAAAGTGATAGTGAATGGAGATTATACTGACAGCTTTGAGATAAAAAAAGGTACGAGACAAGGGTGTCCACTATCTCCATTATTATTTATCTTTACTTTGGAAGTGTTAAAGAGAAGGATAAGACAGGACACAGAAATTAAAGGATTGAAAATAAAAGATGAAACATATAAGTTACAAGCATTTGCTGATGATTTAATGTTTATTTTGGAAGAACCTTTAGAAATGATTCCTAAACTATGGGGAAAGATAGAAGAGTATGGAGAAATGGCAGGACTAAAAATAAATAAAGAAAAAACTAAAGTAATACTTAAGAATCTCACAGATAAACAAAAAAGGCAAATACTAGAGAAAACAGAGGTACAAATAGTGAAAAAAGTTAAATATTTAGGTATTCATCTTTCGGCTAAGTGTTCATCAATAAAAGAAGACAATTATACAAAATTATTGAAGCAAATAAAGCTAGACTTCGAAAGATGGAAAAGTCTGCAGCTGTCAATATTAGGAAGAATTGCTACAGTAAAAATGAATGTGTTGCCAAAGATTTTATTTGTATTTCAAACGATTCCGATAAAACTTGAGAGAAAATTCCTTCAAGATTTAAATTCATTAATTTTGAACTTTATTTGGCAGAGGAAGAAAGCTAGAATTAAGATGAAAACATTACAAGATGCTAAGGAAAATGGAGGTTTTGGGTTGCTAGAATGGACATTGTATTACCAAGCATCTGTGTTAACATGGGTGAAAGAGTGGATAACACTTAGAAATAAAAGGTTGTTGTATTTAGAGGGACATGATTTACAATTGGGGTGGCACGCTTTCTTATGGTATGGAAAAAACAGAGTCCATAAGTACTATCAAAATCATTTTATAAGAAATGTCTTGTCAACAGTATGGGAAAAAATTAAAGCTAAAATATATCTAAAAATTCCAGGATGGTTATCAACGATGGAGACATTTATACATCCGAACTTGGTATACTTTGAAAAAATATGGATATATAAAAATATTCTAAATATTGATGGGAAATTAAAATCTAAACAAGAACTGGAAAATCAGGAAACTAAGCTGCCTGGTGGGCACATTTACAGATACAAAGTAGATATGAAAAAGATGTAAAAATGTATGGATTTTATAAGGATCAAACTGTGTTTGATAAGATTTTGTTAACCTCAGATGAGAAATTAATTAAGAAAATGTATAACTTTTTTAAATTTTTGATATGGAAAGTGAACAAGTGAAAGAAACAATGATAAGATGGGCAAAAAACTTTGGCTATAATATAGAATTAGAAAAATGGCAAATGTTGTGGGAGAGACACTACAAACTAACAATGTCAACTTCATATAAAGAAAATCTGTATAAAATGTTTTATAGATGGCACCTGCCACCAGCAAGATCAGCAAAAATGTTTAAAAGTATGTCAGATAGATGTTGGAAATGTAAACACAATATAGGCACGTACTATCACATTTGGTGGATATGTGGTAAGGCTAAGGCCTATTGGAGAAAGATACATATGTGGTTAGAAAAAATATTGGGTGAACAAGTTGATTTTAAACCTGAACTTTTTTTACTAGATATTATGTGTTGAGTCCTTCGCGAAATGGCAAGACATGAGAAGCAGTTGTAGTTCTCAGGAAATTTCTTTATTCATGTGTTCAGCTTACAGTTAGAAGACGCCGACAACGCCCAAAACTCCTGGCCTCTTATATAGGCCATCCCTGGGTAAATCTGCAACTTTTGACGCGCCAGCACTTGCGCATGCGCACAAGTACTGGCGACAGCCTGTCTGGTCCCGGGCAGCTTGCACCTGCCGGAACCGCTTGCAATGCCCCGAGCCTGCTTGCACAGGCTCAGGACATAACACCCCTTCCCCCCGGGCTAAAACTATTCCTTATGCCATAATAACACATAACTCATTTCTGTAGAGTAGTGCCATGCTCCCCAATACCAGGTATTCCTGGTCTTCCATCAGCCTCAATGCTCTATTTTTCTACTAGCTTTGTTTGGCCAAGAGGGTTACAAAATCGTCCAAATACTTAGGAGATTTCCTTGCTCTCTGTGACCTCCTGAGTTCAGGGTGCTTGCCAAGTACCCTCTGATTGAGGGGTGATGCGTGCCTGTCCCCCTTGTTTTGCCTTGGTGATTCCCAAAGACTGTGCTCCAATGCCTGGCCTGCTTGCTTGCCCACCGGGCTTGTCAGGCCAGGGCTTCTTTCACTATGTGACCTCGTTGTCCCGCCTAGCTGTAGGCTCTCTGGCCCTTCTAAGTGACTGTCACTGTTGGGCGTTTCTGTAGAACCTCCTAGGTCTGTCCAAGACCTGTCAGGAGGCTGTCTGTCCCCTGAATCCCGTTCTGTGCCCGGGCTTGTGTGGGTTTCAGTACTGTCCCAAAACTCAGTTGTCCCCTGAGTGGAGTCAGAGGTGTTGCAGTCGGGATTTGGTTCCTCGACCACCTCCCTGTGTGTTTGCCCCCTTCTAGGGACAGGAGTAGTGTCGGGCCAACTTGAAGGAGTGTGTGCCAGCTCTCTTGCGGGAAATGGTTTATTGGGATGCTCCCAGGTATTCTCCCTGACTGGAGTACTGAGTGATGCGGGTGAGTAGTGATTATGCCCCCGGGGTAACTCCCTGGCTGGAGTAGGCGTTGATGCCTGGTATCTAGTTGGGCTCCTTGAATTCCTGTTTGGAGCACTCGTGGAATCTTGAGATGGGCTGATTGTGGCTTCCCCATTAATAATGGGCATCATTCCATGCCCCTCCCTTTGCCCAAAGGGCTCCCCCTCCCCCCCTGGAAAAGACCCAGGAGTCTCATCGGGAAGGTCCCGTCTAGGGCGAAGTTGGTCAATGTGCCGACGCAGGACACGACCATTGTCCAGGGATACCTTGTAGGATAGAGGACCTGTGACCCTGGATATAGATGCGGGGACCCATGTATGACCAGGCCCGTAATTACGAGTCCAAACCGGGGCACCCACAAGTAGTTGCCTAGGTGCCCTGGGGTGTGAGACAGAAGGAGGCAGTCTGTCCGGATGCAACCGGTCAAGCTTGGTAGTCAGTTTGCGCCCCCAACGAAGTTCAGCTGGGCTTCTCCCTGTAGAAGTGGACGGTGTGGTGCGATAAGAAAGGAGGAAGTCAGCCAACCTGTGATGCCAGTCTCCATAGGTGAGTTTCTTCAAGGCGTCCTTGGTGATGCGCACCATGCGTTCAGCCATACCGTTGGTGGATGGGTGGAAAGGTGCAGAGGTGGCACGACGAATCATGTTAGCCTGTAAGAAAGCTTGGAATTCGGAGGAAGTGAATTGAGGGCCGTTGTCAGACACAATGATGTCTGGGAGCCCGTGTGCAGCAAAAATCTCCCTCAGTACCTGAATAGTCTTTGCAGCAGTGGTGGATGAGACAGGTACAACCTCAAGCCATTTTGAATGGCTGTCAACGAGGACCAAGAAGAATT